ACTTGCGATCAGAGTCACGGAACGGATTAAGTTCGTAAGTAGAGGTACCACTGTATTTATATGAAGATCTACTTCTTTAGCTAGTATTGGCCAATCTGAGTATAGTATATGAGAGAAAATGTTTAAGCCAGGGTTTCTCAATTTAGATTGTAAAATCTGTAGGCATATAAAAAGGATTATTAAAGACTTTGAACAGGATATACAGGCAGATTTTACTGGCTTCAAAGCACTTTACATAGTTTAGCATGGTACCAGTTTTGAAGAGGATGTGAAGGATCTGGGAATCTGAGAAGAAATACTGTTTAGATCAGAGTAAGTTCTTACGTAATTAGACACAGCTCCCAGCACCTTGTCTAGGGGAGAGAAACAGTTCAAAATTAAGTTTGTATGAGAGAGAATAATGCAAAACAAACTGAAAATAAATGAAATGGGAATTCAGGGCAGGATGTCCTTTTTTTTTTTTTACCCTTTCATGAGATGGGGAAAAGAAAATTGAAATGTCATTGTAAACTTCATCCCTAAGTACATAACATGCATTTTGATAGCTATTAAAAGCATATACATGACTTGAAATACAAGTCCATATTTGTGGGGCTAAATTAAAAATCAAAATTGTAAGCCCTTAATTGTATTACAAACATTAAGAGAAATGGTCATCTAAGATGGAAGAATGGAAAAAGAGAAACTTAATTTAGTAGTGTATGGTATTACTTTTAATACAGGAAAATAAGACATTTTGATGAAGATGTACTTGGAATGCTGAGCACAATTCTGATCACCATAGAACTGGTGATACTGTAATTGTAGGCTCCTCAAAAAGGACACTGGAAAGTTGGAAAAGTTAGAGTATTGCTGGAGTACAACTAGGAGCAAATCAACTGGAGACAGGTATTAGGGTCTATCTTATGGCAATAAGAGTGGTGAAACACGCTTACTTCTCCATTCTTATTGTATCCTTCAAGTGCTAACTGGTGGCCCTGTTCAGATCCTGTTCAGGAGGACCTGAACAGGAGCAACCCAGGAGGAACAAGGGGAGTACCTACAGGCTGACTGTGAAAACTGTTCTTAAGACTGGGTAGGTAAAATTGCTTGGATTTGCTCTGAGCTAGATTCCAGCTGGACAAGTCCTATGAAATTGACTGAGGCACAGTTTTGTGATGTTAACTGGGAAGAGTTCAATCTTGTTAGTCCTGAGGAAGTGGCAGGGTACTTGGTGCTGTGGGTATGACCACTTGTGATTTAGACTCATCTCCCTTGTGATTGGTTAACTTGACCTCCAAGAAAAGGGAATGTGGGTAGATCCATGCAATGGTGAATGCTACCTTGAGAGAGAGAGTAGTTCTACCAGCTGTGAAACCACTGCTGGATCCCACAGATTTGGACAACTTTCATCCCATCTCCAATCTTCCCTTTTTAGGGAAGTTTGTTGAGAAAGTGGTTAGCCTACTGCTCCAAAGGATCCTGAAGGAAGCAGATTAACTGGACCCCTTCCTGTCAGGTTTCCGACAGGATATAGTTTGGTTGTGCTTGTTGATGATCTGTGGTGAGGTTGGGATGAGGGTATTGCATCCATCCAGCCCTCCTTGACCTCTCAGTGGTCTTTGATACCATCAATCATAATATTCTTCAGGATCCGCTTAGGAGGCTGGAGGTGGGGGATATGGTGTTATGTGGCTGGTTTCAGACTCTGTTGAGGAGGGAGCAGTCTTTCTCTAGACTCCTGTTTTGCAGGGTGCCTTACGGTTCTACCCTGTCTTTGCTTCTTTTTAACATTTACACGAAACTGTTGGGGAGATCATCAGCATGGGGTTTAGTAGCATCAGTATGCTACTGATAATAATATATCTCTGCCTTTGGATGACCAATGAGGCTGTCAAGGTTCTGCCCCAGTGTCTGGAGGCTGGGGGATCTGGTTGGAAAGAACAGGCTTTGGCTTAACTGTACTAACACTGAGAGGCTGTGGGTTTTGGTCTCACAGGTCCTGGGACTGGAGAGGTTTTTCTTTGACTCTACATGGGGTTACAAATTGTTTAAGTGAACAATTTGGGGTCCTCCTAGACTCAGAGTTCCTGCTCAAAGAGCAAGTGCCAGCTGTGGCCAGAGGTATCTTTGCACAACTCCATCTTGTGTGCCAGTTGCATCCATTCCTGGATCATGGGGCCCTGCTCACAAACACTTCTGCCTTAGTCACCTCCTTGTTAGATTACTGCAATGTGCTTTTCATAAGGCTGCCCTTAAGACTATTCAGAAGCTACAAATGGTCCAGAGTGCAGTGGTGCAGGTAGTTATGGGTGTTCCTCAGTATGTCCATGTAATACTTCTACTCTGGGATCTGCACAGGCTTCCCATAGGATTCTGGATGTAATTCAAGGTGCTGGTTATCATCTATAAGGCCCTACATGGCATAGGACCGGGGTACTTGTGGGACTGCCTTTCCCCCGTGGTATCTGCCTATCCTACATGGTCTAATAGGGAAAGCATGCTCCAGGTCTTTTCCTTGAAACAATGTCATTTCATGGGATCTAGGAGGTGAGCTTTCACTGTGGTGGTGCTTGTTCTTTGGAACAATCTCTCCCCCCCACCCCCCAATGTACAGCTGGCCCACCCTGCAGGCCTTTATAAAGCAGTTAAAATTTAGTTCGTTCTTTGGAAGCTTGGGACAGGATGAGTAGAGTTCCCATCAGGTGGAATATAACAAATTTGAATATCTGATCACCAGTTAATTTGTTTCATTTGTTTTAATTATATTTGCTGGGGGGGGGGGATATTGTTGTATACAGTTTTTTGTACATCATCCAAAGTCTCATTGTTCAAGTTGGGAAGCCATGTACATGCTATAAATCAAGCAAGCAAGCAAGCAAGCAAATTGTTAAGCTATAATCCTATGCAAAGGAAATTAGATCCACTGAAAACCAGACAAAAGATTGACGAAACATGCAAAGACTGTGTTGTCTGAGAAAGTGCCTGATAATTATTTGACACCATGATTAATACACAGCTTGGTTTGTCCAAATGTATAACATAACATTGGTTGAAAATGAAAAATGCTCTGATTTAATGAATGATATCACTTTCCCTCCCCCCCCCCACACCAAATACTGTTTTTCTCTCCTCACCACGACTCCCTTCAAGACTTCATTCACTTTATCCTGGGCAACATATCTTTTAGCAAAGCATCCAGAAGTGCAGGATTCTGTCTATAAAGAGATAGTTCATAATTTGGGAAAAGATGAAGTTCCTGATGCACATCATATCCCCAACTTGCCAATGATTAGAGCCCTTCTCAAAGAAACCTTAAGGTAAGTGTAGAAAAATGTGAGATGATAAGTAAAGCTTTCTTATTACAATAGGTTGGATCTAGACTGCATGCTAGTAAGAAAGGACATTAATTCAATCTAATATATTTTTATATTTAAATCAAATTCCATTGATTCCATTGTCATGTTTTCCTTGCCTTTTTCATACTGGAGTACTTTGAGAATGTAGCTGTTACATTATTAGTTTATTAAAATTATTAATAAAAATAAATGTGACAAATAATTTGTGACTGGACTGCTATTCATACTTCTAATAGTAACTCTTGAGAGAATTTAATGGAACTTCTGAATAAGCATATATAAGATTGAATTACATATTATTGCACATATGTACCAGAAGTGCTAAGTAACAATATTTTGCCCAGTTTCTGAATCCATAAGAGATAACTGAACAACACTTAATGAAAGCAATATTTAGATTACTTCCCCCCATGTTAGTGAGAGAAAAATAATGCTGTTTATATAAGAACAGCCTTCCATTTTCCTTAAGAATACCTGCTGCCTGAGGCAGGAGGCGGACCTTTCCCTTCACAGACACCTTCACATGCTCCCTTCCCATGCACTCCTTCTACAGCAGCTGTTCCCATTACATTTTGTCCAGTTATAATTGATCTGAAGTTACTCTCCCATGGTGGTTGAGTCTGCACAAAATGTTAGGCTAAAACATTTGTGTCTATTTGGGGGTCCAGTGTTGTGCAAACAAAGGCAATTGAGTCAATTCTGTAAGCTATGGTTCAGTTAATTATGAGTTAACATTATGTGAATGTAGCTACTGAATATCTAAATGCATATATGCCATTTTTAAATGTATATTTTGAATTATATAGATGGAAAGCTGCCAGAGTGAGATTTGGAACAGGAAAATAGCATGTAACAATTACTTTCTCCCTTTACCTGTATTTGTATTGTGTGAACTTTCAAGTTCATGATCTGAACTGAAGGACAGTTAGTCTCCTTCACGTCTTCAACGTGAACTTTCAAATCAATTTGAAGCAGTTGAATCAAATCAGGTGCTATCCATTTACTAGATAGCAATTTAATTTGGAGATTCAGTTGTCTTTCTGGCTTTTCAGGCTCAAACATTGTAGCAACTTTCCTTCCATATTATAAAGCTGAATTGTGGATGGGTGGGGATGGAAGTGCTGGGATTGACTCTCTGATATTGACTTAAGTAACTGGCCATATATTTTATCACCTCTGCAAGCACTGCCTATCATAGTTCTTGGGAGAGCTCTGTTTTCCTGATGAGGTGTCTAATTTTTTTGGTTAGAATTTGTTTAGGCTGGCTCACATGGAGAAAGACTCAGATTTAGTAACTGCATATATGGATTTGAGATAGCATGCTTGCTGTTTGACAATTTATTTGTTAGATTTATGGAGCCATTCAATGGACTAGTGACTGAAGGTGGGTTACAAAGAGAGTTAAAACATAAATTGACAAAACAATAGTACAGTGGCAAAACAACAATTGTGCTGGGGAAGATAAAACTTAAATCACAAACACTCCAGCAGGTTTACAAATCCTCCTGGCCCAGTATTTGCCAGAAGAACCAGGTTTTTAAGGCTTCTTAAATGACAGCATGTTTAGGGCCCTAGGCCCTTAATCTTGACTTTATTATGGCCTTGGAGCCAGAAAAGGGGCCTAGGACCTTGAGGAAATGCTATTCCAAAGAGAAGGCTTGGTAACACATAAGGTGTACTGTCTGGGTTCAGTAAAATGCCATTGTTTATTGATGGGACCTGGAGCATGCTGACCCTGTCAGATCTTATAGGATGGGCAAAGATAATTGGAAAATGGCGGTTCCACAAATGTCCAGGCCCTAAGCCACGAAGGGCTTTATAGATGTTTATTAGCAATTGTATGTGGAAGCCAACTGGCAAACAGTGCACTTCACAGAATAATGGCAAACTATTTGTGGTGCAACATTCTGAACCTGCTGTAGCTTCTGAGTTTTCTTCAAGGTCAGACCCATGTACAGTGCATTGTAGTAATCCAAACAAGAGATAGGTAAAATATGGGTGATGATGATAAGGGCCTCCAAATCCAGGAATAAGCAAAATTGGTGCACAATGTGGATTTGTGCAACGGCTTTGCTAGCCACAATTGCCACCTGCACTTTGAGCAGAACCTGAGAGTCTTAAAGAATTCCCAGACTGCACACTAGTTCTCTCTGGGGAAATGCAATCCCATCTAGAACTAAAGCTGAAAACAGGGTGGTCCCTGAAGCCACAGTCACTCAGTCTTACTACAGTTAAGCCTAAGCCTGTTCCACCCCATCTGGTTCCTGACAGTCTCTAGACACTGTGACAAAAACTTGATGGCATCACAAGGGTCGAGATATATCATGAGAGGTAACATCAGATGACCTTGCCACTAGCTTCATGTAAATATTAAATAATTATACATTATCATGTATAATTCAACATAGTATGTTACATAATATGAACACCTCTTAGACTTTTTTTTTTTTTTTAAAAACCATAAAGCAGCACATAATGTGTCATTCTAGAAGATACTAAGGTTGCCAATGACCCATACCAACAAGCTTGCCAGACCAGAATAAAAAAGAGGGCAGGGAACTCAAATGTACAGTAAAAGTAAGAGCTTACTTTTTAATTAGAATTTAACTGTTTTTATTTTTTAAATTTGGTAGGAAGCTTTCTGCAGTGGTTCAGGGGTTCCTGGCTTTTGTTTGCTGTACAGTTTAGAGACTGCTTTGCTGTCTTTTTCTTATCCTGACTATTTATCCTTTAAAAGAGAGAAGAACATTTCACAGATTTATTTGAATAAAATCCTTGAAATTATCTGGTTGAAACTTTGCAGCATTAATGTCCTTCAAAGTGTCTACTAAACTGTTGTTTTCATCCCACTCCGCTATAACAACTGAAACAGTCGCAGATGTGGTGATGGTTTCTTATTATAGCCTGTCGTTGAATGTCTTATTATATTAAAATCTCAAAACACAAACTGTCCTTGTGATCTTATTCAGATTATAAATTTGAATCAAATCTTGCTTTCTCTGATTTTAAAATCCCATATTGGCTGATTTGCACACTTCTATCATGTTATATTTAGAGCCAGTTTGATTTAGTGGTTAAGGGTAGAAACTGGGAAACTCTGAGTTCTAGTCCTGCATTAGGCACAAAGCCACCCTCTCTCAGCCCTGAGAAGGAGGCAAGGATAAACCACTTCCAAAAATCTTGCCAAGAAAACTGAAGGGGCTAGTCCAGGCAATTGCAAAGGTTTAACACTCCCTTGAAGGCACAAATAAAATAACAAAATAAAATCAATCACATTTATTTATATATATTATTTATTAGGTTTAAAGTAGCCTTTTCCTGAATGAATTTATTAGAACTCTGCTTCCCAGCTGCTTATGTTTGCTTTCCTTTCAGGGCTACTAAAAAATTAAACATTTCTGTAATGGACCCAGATTTATGGAAAATCTTGCCAGCTGGGTCTCCATGTCAGCTCTTAAGTTGCAGACAATTTAATTTTTTTTGGGGGGGGGGATGTCTTTTTAAGGAACATAGATGATAATGAAAAATAGACACCACTATTATTCTGACAAATTACAAACAAATTGACATGGTCATCTGTGCAAATGTTAATCTCAAAGGTTACTAAATATTATATTTCTTTAAAATATTCATATTCTTAGCTAAATATGCTCACTTCATCACATGCCTCAGAGTCAAGGCATAGCCTGAGTTCATTTTCAAAGTACTAGATCAACAGAGTATCATACATGCTCAATTTGGATGATCAATTTTGGCTTAAGGCATTAAAGGGCACTTTAATAGAAGAGCTTTGTTCCAGTTTAGAACCAGCTCTTGATCTGAGCCAGCTAGTTTTGAGAACTGAGGATATTTTATTTTTCCCCTTGGCACTGCTGTGGTTTATTTTAATAGAAGCAAAACTTTTTTCTTCACAAAATTGTGGCTCTGGCAAGCTTGTGTCTGGTTTGTTTTTAACCTTGTCTAGAACTCTTGCTTCATACCACCTCTTGGCTCCTGGGTTCAGGACAGCCGTTATATTCTACCAACTCTGAACAAGAATTTCAACATCCTGTTCTTGGTTCATGTCTGTAGGTACTGTATAGAGTGTACAGTATCTCTCTCCCAGTCCAAAAGTGAAAAATTGTGCAACCATGATTATAGCTATTGGAAAAAGCCTGATTATCAACATAATATCATTTTCTACCATAGCTTGCAAAAGGCTTTTAAATACAGGAGAAAAGCTGGCTTTGCAGCTGGTAAACTTCCCCTCATAGCAGCTACTCTTTTTTTTTTTTGCAAACAACCAGACAGATTCATACAATATGAACTGAAAATGTGGATAGGTGGGGTAAAGGAGAGCTACCAATTTATTTTATTCTCCTTTTATGTAGAGTGGAATGATGAGTTTTTTGCTACTCCAGCACCAGTGATAGCTTGAAATATGGCACTAAGTAATGAATTACATTCTTTCTACTTTTTTGTCAACTGGGCATTCATTCATTGATTTATGATGATCTCTACATGGTCTCAGCATGCTGAAATCAGCAGATGTGAAGATGATTGCAGCTTGCCTTTGAACTGCTTTGGATGGATTGGAGAATAGACATAGTGGTCGTGGCTTAATTCACTAAGGCAAATTTAGTGAAGTAGGTAGTAACAGCAACCCTTTTAATCCCATTACTTTCTTTTTTTGTGGGACCATGTGAGCAAGCAAACCAGAAAGCCATAGCTACACAACATCCCATTATACTGGAATTAAGAATTCTAAGTTATTCCAAAATAAAACAGAATAAACAGTCAACTTTAAACTATGGTTTTATATCCTGGTTTGTTTTATGGGATTAATAGTTTCATGTTTCATTTACAACAGGAGAATATGATAAACTACAGCACACTGGCTTGTTTCCAAGGATATAAAGGGAGAAGAGGGACTAGAGCAAATGGACTATCGTTGGATGCTTATTAAGAAGGCTACCTAGGCTATAAAACTCTAAGTGACCACTAGTTGGAAGTAGAGATATAGCAAACGCTGAGTTTTTGTTGCCACCTGTGGTCAGAAATTATAACATTATTAAGTCAGGATTTAATCATCAAAATGGAGACACTGTTTTTAACTGTAACAAACTAATAACCCTACATACATTCTATATATTAAAGTATAACTATTATTGAATGTAGTAAAGATTTAATTTAATCTAATGATCAGACCTAGTTCAAGTATAACTGTAAGCTATGTTTTGTCATTATTAGACTAATTTGCATAAGCTTCAACCTGCATACTCTTCAGAGCCTAGCTCCCCAATTTGAGCATAGTGCACTGTCATCCAGGAGTGACAGTGCATTGACCAATGTATTCCTTAATGCCCGACAAGCTTTCTCTCCTTTCTATTTTTATTTGAAAACTTCTTTTAATGAAAGATATGAATAGAATTAGAAGCATCTCCTGCATCAGGAGGTTTTGTGAAAATGACGATGTGTTGCAATATCGTGATGCAAGCTCTGCTTCTTACATACATGCATGGCACAGATACACGTGGAGTAGGATTTGCATCATAATATTGTGATGGACACTTCATCTTTCGTCCCCCTTGTCTCCCCTAGAGATGCCTACAAATAGAGAGCTTCCATGCTGAAAACTAAGCACCCAACTTCAGTCATAACATAGACATCCCTCACAAGCGAAGCATCATCCAAGGGATGACGTGTATGTGATAATGTCATTGTGCAAATGTGCATTGTACATGGTGCATTTATGTAATTATGTCATGATATCTGATGCAAGTACTGTACATAAGTTGCATCATTTGCAAGAGTATATCATCATCACACATAGGTTATCATTTGCCTCCCTCTTGGAACCTCCACAGACACCATTGAACATAGGTCCCAGAGACTTTTTTAAAAAGTAAAATTGTGGGCAGGTGCAGCTCAGTGCTTTGTTTATGTTCCAAGATGTGAATGTTTTGTGATTGGGCACACCCACTACGGTTATCATGTGGTAAGAGTGAAGAGCTACTAAATCTGGGCTGCACACCCATGAGATGGCAGCAAAGAGATAGAGAAAACTTTCTTTCCTGCCATTTAGTAGTGAGCTGGATATGTACGGCTGAGATCTGATATCCCTCTGAGGATGTCTGTAACATGCTTTAAAATTCCAAATATTTCTTCAGCACAATTGTCCAATAAATATGATATCCCTGTTCGATGGAGATTTATTTTTAATTACAAAAGTGTAGCTTGAATGAAAAATTCTATCAATTCAAATTCATTCTTCTGTTTTATTAAAGGTAAAGTGTCCTATTCTGTTTGGCCACCCTGATGCCTCCCTTCTTGTCTTTCATATGCAGTGAGGAAAGAGAGAAAAGTTTCACTTAAGCTTTTGAGCTAATCTTAATTTTTGATCCTCAAATTCTGTGTCTGAACTCAGAGATTTACTTTGCCCCTCTGATTAAAACAAGACAGGATTAAATAATAGTTTATTAATTACTAACTGGTACTAGTCTAGTGTAATTACTACACTAGAAATTTAGTTCCATAAATTTCAATGCAATAGGAAATTTTCAGTGCAATACAGTATTTTCAAAAAGTAAAGGAGAGAGTTTTAATCACTTCTTGTAAACCAAAGAAAATAAGCACAAGAGCCCAGAGTTCATGTTGGTTCATTTTTCTAAGAGGAAAAGACAATTTCCCATTCCCATTAACCTGATCTCTGTCTCCAACAATGGTCAGTAGGAAATTTACAAGCAGGGAACAATGGTGATAAGTATATTCTCTTAGTAAAGATAATGGGAGGTATGTGACTGTTGAACATGAAGATTACTTACTGGTCAAGTAGAACCAGAAGTAATTGATGGATTTATTTTCCATGAAATTGGATAAATCCTTGTGAAACCTTTCTCTAGGGCAAGATACGAAGATGAGACACTAATGCAATTTCTTACAATTTCTCCTTATTGTCTCCAATGAATTCCATTATAGCATTAAATGCTAGTTTGATTTATTTTGTACAAAAATATTTTCTTTTTATCATAATAAAAAGAGCCAGTTTGGTCTTGTGGTGAAGGCACCAGGCTAGAAACCAGGAGCCTGTGAGTTTTAGTCCCGCCTTAGGCATGAAAGCCGGCTGGGTGTCTTTGGGCCAGTCACTTTCTCTCAGCCCAACTCACCTCACAGGGTGGTTGTTGTGGGGAAAATAGGAGGAGGATGGAGTACTAGGTACGTTCGGCGCCTTGAGTTATTTATAAAAATAGGAAAGGTGGGATAAAAAATATAAAAACTAAAAAAATCCTATGCACATTGCTTTACTTAGAAGTACATTGTGTATAGTGGTCCTTTCTAGCAATAGGTTGTAACTGCCTTGTATGATTTCTAACTAAAAAGGATGTTTTACTGTCTTTATCATTTTATTGTGCAATAAGTGCAAGATTAACTATAGGGTCACTCCAATGAACATTGTGAGATTATTTCTGAGTAAAATTGTATAGGATTACACTGCATTTTGCTATTTTTATATATATTTTTTCACTTCAGTTTTATTGTTACTGGATAGGATGATGTGCACACAGTAGTTCAAATACGAGTGCACTAGTTTTAGAAGCATGAGTGCACTTTAGTTTTAGAAGCAAACCACAAAATATTCAAACATATCCACAAAAGCCATTTCTTGGGTTTGCTTCAGCCAGTTTGTATTCTGTGAAATCAGGATTTTATTATTTCTTAATGAATTAATCATCACGTTTAATATTTTATCACATTCTATTAACAGTCATGCAGTCTGAACTCTTTACAATCTTTTTAAGATTTTTGTGATCTGGAATAATTTGATGTATGGTTATCATCAAAGAATATTGAATATAATGGTACAGACACTGAATATCTAATTGGTACTTATTTGTAGATTATTTCCAGTATTGCCAGGAAATGGTAGAGTAACACATAAAGATATGATTGTTGGAGGCTACTTGATACCTAAAGGGGTAAGTAGGACAATGATTCTATGAAAAAACTGGGAAAGAATTAGCTGCAGATTTATTTTGGGTACATAAACCTGCCTTAGCTAAGAAGTTGTTTCAAATTTGATTTGGTTTTCATATGAGGTTATTAACTTAAACACTGAAATAATCTATACTTCTTACTGCCCATCCTTGATCTATGGTTTATTAATAGCATTCTCACATGGGATCTCTAGAACAGGAATCTGAAATTTTTCAGGCTTTGGAACTTGTTAATTAAACTCCTAATCCAGAGGCAAAGCTCTAGAAATTTGGCTGCTTTTGGATGAACTTTTTTTTGCCCTTAAAAGCAGTACAGAAGACAGATACAGACTGTTTCTAGACAGAAGGCTTGTTATTATGGATAAATAATAGTCTTCCATTGTAAACTGCAAAACTATTTATAAAAGAATGTCTGCATATAGTACATATGATCATTGTACACCAGCAAGTTAAGACATAGCATTGCATGTGGATGAGTATATTTCACCTGTTTCACTCTTCCTGAGTATTTGTTTCCATGTTCAGTAATGAAAAACAACATGACCCTTGTAGTGCTGTTCAGGTTTTTCTCTTGCCTCAAATCCCATAAATTCTTCCTCAGATTGAGCCAATAGTGCTACTATAGTTTGATTTAATCCTGCTCAGTCATTGGTGGAATGCATTTCTTGAATTCTAATAGAATTAAAAATGTATGCAGTCCTATATACAGTGGTACCTTGGGTTACGAACGCCTCTGTTAATGAACTTTTCGGGTTACGACCAGCTCCGGCCGCAAAAATTTACCTCGGTTTGCGAACTCCGCCTCGGGGTACGAACAGGATACCCGGCCATTTTCCCTCCCGTGACATGGTCCGCGGCCATTTTTCCGCCCCTGACATGTAGTCCGTGGCCATTTTCAACCCCTGACATGTGGTCTGTGGCCATTTTTCCACCCCTGACACGTGGTCCGCGGCCATTTTTCTGCCCCTGACACGTGGTCCGTGGCCATTTTTCCGCCCCTGACACGTGGTCCGTGGCCATTTTTCCGCCCCTGACACGTGGTCGT